TCTTAGTTCATATAAATTTGTACTATTGGTCATTAATAATTTGGAGGAATTTGGGCAGTTGTGCCATTTGTAAACTGTGAATTTCTGTAAAGCGAACTATCATTTCAAATTGAATTTTTTTTCTAATAACAGATTTCAGCTTCACATACTAAGTAAATACTAATAAGGAAATTAGAAATTTAGTATTCATAATTAAATATGGTCTAAAACTTCTTACACTTTTATTTCATATTTATGCTTAGCTAGATTGGGGGAAAGGAATCTGTTCTCCCTGACTAAATATTTTCTAATAAAAATTATGGCATGAGGACATTCTGCAAGACTGTGACTTTAAAAGAGAACCTTTGAAAGTATATACATTGTTACAGTAATAATGTATACAAGTCCTTTTGAAATGTTGGCTTTAGTAATTCCAGCTCTTTTATCTAGAGCTCAAGATAATGAAAGCTGAGTTTTTCAGGGCATGTCACATTGGCAGGATGTTCACCAGGGAGATGTCAGTACTAGTGCTATTCAGGTGAAAGTTGATTTCTTTCCATTCAGAGGATGCCTTTTATCCCCACATTAAAGCACAGATCATTAAGCAATAAAAAACAAATTGTCTGTCATTCAAATTATAACTGCAGTTATTTTTGCATGGTAAGAGTGAGGTGCTAATTTTGTGTGAGATGAACTTTTGTAAACTACTTTGAGAAATGTTCTTTGGGAGTAAAGTTTTTTCCCCTTTAGTCCTATGCTTCCAGTTTGTCTCAAATTCACAATTCATTAAAACATGGGAAAAAAAGAAAAGGGTAGAACTGATCCTTCTGAGAAAAGCTATTAGGAATGAACAGACAATTCAGATTTTCCAAAATATAAATTGAGAAAGGTCTCCATTGTCTCTGCACTCACAAAATACATTGTTACCATATTAATTTCAAGAGTGTCATTACAGTGAGACTAATTAAAAAGTATACCTGTGAAATTAATAGCAGTGCTTATCAAAGAACATTCAAATCTGTGAGAATCTTTCTAGGAGCATTTTTTTTCTTTTAGTTCCAAGTTCCCAGGATATTTTTCATTCATTGTAGGTTTATATGACTCACAGAATATGGAATTCCGCCCCCCTTGGGATAGTTTTGTAATTTAGGGGGACAGCTACACCATAGCATGCACAAATTGCACATTTTGTTTTATTTTCTTAATAAAATATTTAATTTGAAAAATATAATTTATGCCAAAAAATATCTTACAATTTTGCCACTTAACTAGGTTGATTTAGCACAAAATGCAAAGTCTTGGGGCAGAGAGGGGGAGTGAAAAAGATTTTATAAGTAATTGTAAAAAAAAAAAAAAAAAATGCCTGTCAGAAACCCTAAAGCTGCATTGTAAAACAAATGGTGTAAATTAGTTTTGAAAAGTGGTAAGGGATTGTGAAAACTCTTAATGTTCTCTTAACCACATGATTTTCTTCTTTTTTCTAATTTAGTAATACGCTGCTACATATTTGGAGGTTCTGGTGTTTGTAGGTCACTGAACAGACATTGAAATCTGATTTATATTGTATAACTGTAACATAGAAAGAAAAAGTATTTATATATTTTCCGTAAGAATATTTCATTGAGTTGTGTATAATTTAAATAAGATTTGTTCCCCAATGGTTTTGCTCACCTTGATTTTTTTTGTTGTGGTTTTCTTGTTTTTGTATAATGTGTACAGTTTATGTCAAGGGCATTAAAAGCCTCCTGAAGCATAATCTTATCAAAGGGATACATTGTTAATAAAATGTACTTAAAATTCTTAAATTTGTATTGTTTTATTTGAAAACCTAAAACAATCAGTAGTCGTATGGCCTTGATTGAATCGTGTAATGCTGATGCTGACACGTGACACCCAGCAAAAGTGACATTTAGGTACCTCAGACATTTCAGTAACATCTAGATCACCTGTTCCAAATATTTTAAAATAACACTTGCTTAAACATTCTTCATAATTAAATCAAACATCTATACAGTTTTTTAAGTCTACATTCATTATGGGGTTTGGAAAATGGATCTATCATTAGGTGGAAGAGCTGTGAATTTTTTGAGGAAATAATATACAGCGTAAGTATTATGTGATAAGTGTAACCTTTTTATAGAAGGTATTTGAATTCTCACACATTAAACTAATCTAAGCAGGCATAACCTGTTGCCACCTACTGGCAAAAGAAAATGCCACAAAGGAAATTACCAAGTCTGGAAAATAAAATTCAGTGTCAAAGCTAGGGGCTGTTATATAATTGATAAACTATGGTAAAATAATGTCTCACTTTAAGAAACATTTGGTTTCAGATAATTGTCATGTTATTGGTATCATTTTACACACTGCTTTCTACTACCATGTTTCCCTGAAAATAAGACACTGTCTTATATTTATTTTTTCTCAAGAAGACACACTAGGGCTTATTTTCAGGGAATGTCTTATTTTTATTAAGTATAACACAACAATCTACATTTATTCAAATACAGTTAAGTCATCTTCTTCTGGAACCTGACAGGGGGAGCTGACCTTGTTGGTGGGGCTGGTGCTAGTGATGCAGGAATTCCATTCCCCTAGCCATTCTCACATGCACAATAGGATGCCTGTGACTGCGGTTACCACACACTGCACCTGCGAGTATCTGCATGGCCATGCCCATCACTAGGTCTTATTATCAGGGTAGGGCTTATATTTAACAAATGCATAGAAATCCTGCTAGGGCTTATTTTTTGGGTAGGTCTTATTTTCGGGGAAACACGATGTATCTGTCATTAAACATGCAGTTACCTGAAAATGAAAAATACTGTGCAGCTGGTCTTTGAAAAAAGGTCATAGCTGAACTTTCAAAAGATTGTTTCATTTTTAAAACTTTTTAGCATATAAAAATAAGATACAACTTCTGTATTTTTTTTTTTTGAAGAAACTTTGTTTCTTCAATGCTTATCTTAGAGGAATAAGACAGCCACATATGCTTAGTTCTTCAAATTGTATAGGACTAATTGGGCTGTAAAGACAGTATTTTAACTGCGAATTCTAAAGACTTTCTATCTTCTGTTTCTATTCCAGTGTTTTAAAAGTTCTACCTTATACAAAGTGCTCAACATGTTTTGTAAATTCTTTGAGATGAAAGCAAGCTTATTTTTCAACATACCTCTTAGGAGAAATCTTAGATAATAAGTGTAAGTCAACTTCATTTTTTACTGCTCTAGTCAATGAAAAGGTAACTTTATTGAGGCCTCAGGGCCATGGGGCTTGGGCAGGTGGCTAAAGGAGGGGCTATATTTGACCTTCTTCTTGGGGTGCAGATTGTTGAGGTGGCCGTACTTCTTCTTGCGCCAATTGACAGAATGGGTACAGGTGATTATAACATTTGCAGCAAATCATTTTGTCACAGTTGTATTTCTGGGCAAACTGTTGGAGGGAAGGCTCCATGATGCCACTTCTCAGACGAAGCACCAGGTGCTGGGTAAACTCTTTCTGAATGTTGTAATCTGAAAGAGTGTGGCCATACTCGAGTTGTTTACCTGCAAATATCAGACACTGCTGGTCATATGGAATGCCCTCCTTATCTTGGATTTTGGCTTTGACATTCTTGATGGTGTCACTGGGCTCAACCTCAAGGCAGATGGTCTTGCCTGTCAGGGTGTTCACAAAGATCTGCATCAGCTTGGTTGCCTCATTGAAGAGAAAAAGCCTAAGTCAACTTCATTTTTACTAAGTACACACATTCTAGTAGATAATCAGGTTGACTATGATTAGTATGGGTTAGGTATTAGAATGCAGCAAATGTTTTTCATCAAATGTATGACTCTTGTGTGAAGAGGTCCCTGCCCCCAGCCTGAACCATCATGGTCCCCTGTACACAGCTGACTATTGCATACCTGTTGACATGGGATTCAAAGGCCATTAAAGCCAGTCCTGCCTACCACCCAAATAAAAATGAGATTTGTAAGGAAATACTACTAGTGTGATTTTAGGTGCAATTGTTTTTGAATTTTACAACCACATTAGAAAAAAACGGCTTGTTTCTAGAGAAATGCAAGTCTGTACCTATGCATCACGTATGATCTGTTTCAAAATAATTTACGGATGGAGAGTGAACAAGCATATGGAAGAGGCTAAAACAGCAATGGGTGGTAGCAGTTGAGGCTAGTCAGGGTACATAGGGGTTCATTAAACTATGCTACTGTTGTGTGTGTTTGAAAGTCTTCATAATTTTTTTTTTTTTTTTGAGACAGTCTTACTATGTTGCCCTCGGTAGAGTGTGGTGACGTCACAGCTCACAGCAGCCTCAGACTCTTGGCCTTAAGTAATTCTCTTACCTCAGCCTCCCAAGTAGCTGGGACTACAGGCACCTGCCACAATGCCTAGCTATTTTTTGTTGTCAATTTTATTTTTTTTTTTTTTTAGCAGGCCTGGCCAGTTTTGAATCCACCAGCCCCGCTGTATGTGGCCGGCGCCCTAACCACCGAGATACCAGTGCTAAGCCTCCATAATTTTTTTTAACCCTGATACTTCTACTGATGCATGAATATAAATTTCAAAGTTTCTGAGTAACATTTCTTAAAGCAATATTAAGATGGCATATAGTATTGAACACTAAGGTTTTAAATACTAATTCATTAGTATTCCAAATACTAATTCATTTGGTTCCAAAGGTTGGAGAGGAATGTTTACATCCAAAGCTAAAAGTCAGTGATTATATAAACACAAAGTCATGTTACCCAGTGTTTCCTGTTGGAAGGTTGTTACATTTTCAGAAAGACTTCATTTGATTCAGAGCAATGACTCTCAAAGTTTACTATGTAACTGAATGCCTGGGAACTGATGAAAAATACAGATTCCATGTCCTGTGTCCCAAAGATTCTGATTAGGAAGTTTGGCATGGTACCCAAGAACCTTGTGAGTTTGAGATTTATCAAACATACTGAATAACTGTTAGATTTTTATTTCATTGAGGTAGATAAAACACAAAATAATGTGATAGTGAAATGTTTTAATTAAGGCTTATTGCAATAGCAAAAATGACTTCAAGGTTTTGTGGATTATTCTTTAAATAAAACCTTTAAGAAAAAATACCATGAACAAATCAGTCATCAGTCTCATTGATATTTCTGTGTACAAGTTTCAAATGAAAAATACAATTGTATCATGACAAAGGAGTATAAATAAATAAGGTAAATGATGAGTATACTGGCCCCAAAGACTTCTCACAACCATTAGACTAACCAAGATAAAGTTAGGAGCACATGACCAATTTTTCCAGCAAAAGAGTTACATGTGAGGAAAAAGTTGAAAAGCTTCAAAAGAACTGGTTGTATAGGGCTGTTTAAGCCACATGACAGCCACATTATTTTGAGATGTGGATATGTGTCTCTCTTCCTAACATTTAATGGCATGGTGAAGGGCATTTGGTACCAGAGGCAGGAGCATAGGCAAAGTCATTTCTGTCATGCTGAAGGCTGTCAGGAAAACAAAAAAAAAGCCGTCTTCATGCATGTTCAGAAATGTGACAGATAAACATAAGGGCTTGGTGGGTGGAGGGACGAAGAAGGAATTAGCACGTACTGAATACCAGTTACGCACCAGGTGCTTTGCATATACTGGTTCAAAGGATACTGAGTTTCTGCAGAGCCAACACAAAATTTCCTACTCCATGAATTTTTTTTACAGTTACATTTAAATTATGTCTTAACTATGAGGTTTCATTTTATTTGTTTTAGCATAATAGGAATACCACGTATGAGACAGCAATCTTGACCCAGACAACCTATTTCAAGAGTCCAAAGGTCATTTATATATAGTTTTTGAAAGAAAAGAGTAACCATAAAATATGCATGAAATTTACTTGATAATATATCTTCCTTTTTCTATCCTGAGGTAGTCATCAATAATTATGGTAGAATACTGATACCTAACAGAGCAGAAGTGCAGCTCACACGAAGAAGCGCCTTACCAATCCCATTCTTTCACTGCAGTAAGCTGGACGAGAGAGTTGTGGAGATCGTATTGATTTACTCCCACATTTTACCAATTAGGTAACCCAAAAGATTTAATTTTACTGTGTCAATAACTACGAATTCTTGTCTCTTCAAGGCAAGCCTAAAGCCTATTTTGGTCTCAAACACCTGTGACTTTTTCACTAAACTCAAATTTACATTGACAATTTATGCTTTAATAATAAATCAGTTGCTTTTACAAAACTTTTCAATCTAACTGCTTTACCCTTAAAATACTGAACATGGCGTTCAGCTCTGTGTAGTACTGAGTGGGCCTACTCTGTGGAGTACTTCATACTCAACCCTCAGTTCAGGTCTACTGATGTAAATGAAAGTGGGCCTGGAACAGCAGCAAGGTAAGCATGTTCCCATGATCCTGTCCTTTCTAGAGCAAGCCTGTTCCAAGGAGGAGTGTCAAGGTCCCTAGCTTCTGACTTTTAACCTAGCCAGACTGTAGTGGTCTTACTTGAATCAGACCTGCAAATAGTGGCAACTCACTGAGATGTAGGACCTAGGCAGGCACCTGGTGATGAGAGTGGTGCCAGCTCTGCTCCCCTTAGCATCTGGGTAGTATAGAGGCATAACCTGGATGTGCTGGTTAATGGTAATGGTCACCTGGACCTAAAAGGGTCATTGAAGAGAGCCCGCTATTCTCTGTCAGGGGAGGTGAAACAAGACAAAAAGGTACTGCCATTTGCATTTTATACTCTGAACAGGGTGGTGGCATGAGTGGATTTGTTGGGAGACTGTCCTTATCTCCAGACACGGGTGCAGCCAACTGGGACACATAATTCAAAGTAGTTTCTCCAGTTGGGATTTCTCCCTGGGAGTTCATGCAGTTTTTTCCTGGTGCCTGTAGTAGATTTTCTGGTGAGGTCAGTAGTCCCAGCTGACTTGGTAGGGCTCCCAGGGGTACTGGAACAGGATGACCACAAGAACCAGAGTCAGAAGCAGCCTGATTATAGGTAAAATTCTCAAAACAGATGCAGGGTCCAGGGCCAGCATAATTCTTTTCTGTTGGGAGGAGATAAAGGTAGACAGGCTTAGTGGACTCAGTTTCTGTGAGTGACTTCCTGGTGCCTAATGACTGTGTCTTAGTTCCTTCGGGCTTGTTCACGACTTCAATGGCATCGGGAATGCAGTCACTGATGTTCATTATTGTTCGGTGAGGGTTCTCCTGGAAAAGAAAGCAAAAACATTCAAGAGAGTGTATGCGTGCAGTGCACAGGCATCAAAGCATATTAAGGAGGTGAAATGCACTTAGAGCTTTAATTTTGTTCATGTTTCCTCCTGGTCATGAGTTATCTGGAGCTGGTGTTGAAAGCCAAATGATTTCCTCTGACAGAAGAAATCAAAGCTCCAAAGGCCTATTTCAGGACCGTGGGAGCAGAGGCGGCTTTTTGTTAAACTTCCCTGAGAAGTCTAGGAAAACATGATTATTACAGCCCCAATCCTGGGTTAGTCCTTAATAAGTATATGGTGTACATACAATTTCCCCGCATTTACCTTGGACTTGATTAAAGACAGGACACTGCTCTTGTAAGGGTCTGGGATGTCGGGATAACACTTTTCCTTCACCCTAGAACAGCAGTGAAAAAGAGACTGAATTGCACAGTATAGTGGAATAGTTAAGAGCAAGAACTCTGGGGTCAGATTCCTGGTTTCTGATCTTTGCTTTATCACTTATTAAGCAAGTTAATTAACTCTTATATGATTTAATTTCTTCATTTGTTAATTAGAGATAATTAGAGTACAGTGCACTTGTGGGGATGACATGTGTTACTGCAGACAGAGCACTTAGGTCACTGCCACGCATACAGTGAGATGTAAATATGAGCCACTGCTATTGAAAAGCTCTTGCCATCTCTCTATGTCAAATGGTTATTATTTCCCTTGCATATTGACCTGGAAAGCAAAGATGTTAAATATATTACATGTTCCCACCTCCGCCTCCTTTGTTTGTCCTTTTTATTTTTGGCACCATTTTTCAGTATCATGCAGTGTCCCTTCCATCTTATTAAACCCTTCTCCTGACTTCCCTGATGCCCCTTGGGTGACACATTTCTTACACACTCACCATTGACTCTTTAGGTTGCACGCAACCAAGAGGAGAAAGATGCAGAGAATCACGGGCAGGATGATGCGGATCAGCATGTAGGCTGGAGGAGAAAAGGAAAGAAAGGGGTGTGCTTAATGAACACGTCTCCCTAAATAAAAATACGTTTATAAATGAGAGTAGTTTTCCATGTTTACTAGTCCTCAAACATCTATTCTGTGCAAGCTTCAATATGAATTCTGTCTGTCTCATTTGGAGAGGGGAACGAATCAACCAACAAATGGCGGAAGCCACTTGCCATCAACATTGTGTGACCCAAGTTTGTTCTGACTGGGCAATGACTCCTAGTATTAGAATTATACTTCCCCACCCTTCACGGTAGGTGGGAAGCACTTTTCTTGCCCCTTGACCTGGGGCTTGGCCACGTGTCTTGGTTTGGCCGATAGGATGTCAGTAGCTGTGATTGGAGCAAGGAAGAGTGCTAACTGTGCTGGCATAGGTTGGCTTGCCCTCTTGTGTTCCTGTGATCCAACATGAGAAGAGGGCCTGAACCCCCAGAGCTGAAGCTGCCTGAAGCCTGGACTCCAGCTTAGCCCAGCCTAGATCAGCCAAGATATGGCTGACCTATAAACCCACAAGCATGTAAAGAAATATCTGTTGTTGTATGCTGCTGAGATTGTGAGGTTGTCACACCTCAAAAATTGACTAGTGCATGTCTTCTAGTTAGCCTCAAATAAAATCACCTATGTCTTAATCAAGAATAATAATACATTTTCTTTCTCAGCTATGTTAACCAGTGTTCCTTTTTTTTTTTTTTAAAAACACCCATTATAAAGGCTGTCAGAATCAAAATGGAGTCACTAATGTTAAGAAAACTCTGCTAATAGATCTGGGGAAAGTCATAAAGAGAGGGCTTTATACCTGTATGTGCTTGTATACCTGATTTTAAAAAAATGGTCATTAAAACCTTATACAAAATATACTTCTGTGAGATATCTGCCTAGCAGCTATCTGTCCAACCTCAAGCTAGATTCACCCTTATTATTGATCTTTTGTGGCCAAGGATAATTATTTCAAAATGATTATGGAATCTTCATTCTTTCCTTTAAAAACAATTTGTCTTCCTTTACCTCCTTGAATCACATGTAGTTTACTATGGCACACGTACTCCCATTACAATGCCTGTTTCCAGTGAACATCTTTTCTTGTAGAGAGAGGCACTCTGTTTGGTATTTAGATAGACACCAACTCCTATTCCCACTGCTTGCAATTCCACCAGTTAATAATTCAGCTGGGTTGGCTGCTCAGAGAGGGTTTGGGGACAGTTATTCACATTTGCACGATTCTGTTCAATTCATTCATCTGACTGTGCTCCTCACTCCCCACCCCCGACCATCTGGCTGTCTTGGAAGAACGCACGTTGATCTGGAGCAGAAGTGCAGAGGATAATGCTGGAGTTTTGTAAGGGAGGGCCGGTCTAGCTGGATCCATAAGCCAGGGCCATGAGGCAACATGGGGTTCCAGAGAAAAGGCCCCAGAAATGTAGAAGAGTGCCGAAGCAAGAGCTCAACAACTGGCCTGACCCCAGAAAGAAACGCTCTCTGACTCTTCCACTACAGGACACTTTACCCTCAAGATGAGTACTTTTGACTACTAAAATTATTTCTAAAATTTGGTTATATTATGGATTTATAATATATTTGCAAGTAAGCCTGAGGACATAACTATGCTTCCAAATTTCCGACTGGTTTTGCTAAGCTTTTCATCAAAGTGTAGTATATATACATACAGAAAAGTGCTTGTAAGTATACAGCTCAATGAGTTTTCACAAACTGAGCACACACTGGTGAGCTCTGTCCCCATCCAGTTATTATTCCTTCCCAAGGCCTTTTAACAGATGACATTTGCTTCTTTCTGTACTTCATGAATGGGACCGCAGGGCGGGAGTCATGTCTGGCTTTTTTCACTCAGCAAGACATTTGTGATACTCATATAAGTTTTGTAACCATAGAATGATTTTCCATGGTGTGAATATATCACAATTATTATTCCTTTCTACTTGATGGCACTGGGTATGTCTGGTGGGCACCTCTCCTGAACTGTGTTGCTATGTACAGTCTAGTACATGTCTTTGGGTACTTCTTCAAGGCGGATGGGTAGGCATCTTTTTAGGATATGTACCTAGGAATGAAAGATCTCACATATAGGTTGTATGTGAGCATATGCTCACTTTAGAAGATAATACCAGTTTTCCGAAACTGCTCAGACAGAATTACTCCCACTAGCAAGGTTCGTTATTCTACATCCTCATCATTTGGTATTTCTCCTTTGTTCATTTCAGCTATTTTCAGGCAATTTTTTAAAAACAAACTTTTGGAACATGACCTACTTCTATCCACAGTATTGAAAAGTTAGTATGTCTACTATGTTCAGAAGGAAATGCAGTTGCCAAAATGTCCAAATACAGCAACACAGAGCACAGTTGGGACGGACCCTCCACCTTCAACACACCGCCTCCCTCTCTGTGCCTCCTCCTAATCTCAGTTCAGTAGTCTCTCACGCAGAGAAAAAGTTCGACCAATGTATAAAAAGAAGGAAGTATTTTGAAAAGTATCCATAGAATGAATATTTATGCACAATTTTGCAATTTCAATGTTACATTAGTTTTTTGCATTTCTGTTCTTTTTTAGTGTTTAATCATCACAGCCTCATTTTAGCAGATGCTGTCTGGGGTGCAGTTAATTGGATTCTGGTCACATTAATATTCTATTAAAACTGTAAGTTAAGGCTGAGCATGGCAGCTCATGTCTGTAATCCTAGCACTTTAGGAAGCAGAGATGGGAGGATCACTTGAGGCTAGGAGTTCAAGACCAGCCTCTGCACAAAATAAGGAGCTCCCATCTCTACCAAAAAAAAAAAAAAAAAGAAAGAAAGAAAAATTAACTGGGTGTGGTAGCTACTAATCCCAGCTACTTGGGAGGGTGAGGCAGGAGAATTGCTTGAGCCTTGAAATTTGAGGTTGCTGTGAGCTAGGCTGAGGCCACTGTACTCTAGCTGGGGGGACAGAGTGAGACTATGTATAAAATAAATAAATAGATATTTCAAATATTTTCTCTTTAATAACAATCAATAGGGTCACAAGCCAAGAGGTTTACAATAAGAAAGATAAATGAAACTTAGAAGAATATGCTTAACATAAAGATAATGTGTGTGAGTATAAGCACCTGAGACAATTCCAAAGCTGGAAGAATAGTTAACATGAAAATAAATTTAAAATGAACTGCAAAATGGCAAACATGCTCAAATAATGTAAATTGTTGACTCAAATCTTAGGGAGTTCTGGACATTGGCTTGGAGATGCTGGGCCATGTTTCAGGCTAGTAATCAACGTGCAGTGAGTGCCACAATCTGCCACTGCAAGGATGGGTGTCTGTTACTGTCAGGGCACTCCAGGGTCAGCTGTCCTACTTGATGCCCCAGCCCTATGCCTCTGCCTTCAGCCAAGAGATCCTGCACAGAGGAAAATCCATAACCTCAGGCAAGATTTTAGAGGCTGTTTTTCAGGGGTCCTTCTAGAACCTTCTATGAATCCTTCATTAAAGGTATTCTCTCTTCCTCCTTCCTCCATCAGTTCCTGCTTTCTCTCACCACATTCTCGTTTGTTGGAAGTCAGGGTCTACCATGAGAATAAAATTTTCCATCAGTTCCTACCATTCTTCTGCCTTCCCTCTACTTTCTGCATCTTTCAAGCCAAATGCCTTTTGAAAAGATCTATCTCTTCATCTTGCCCTATCCCGGGCCAAATATATAAACATGGAGTTTGGGAAGAGGCATTTATGCTTCTGCCCCATCCCCATCCCCATCCTACCCTCTCTAATAGTCCCCTGGGGCCCCAGCAGAGTCAGGAAGCAACTCATTTGCCACTGAGGGAAACCAGCCAGAAGGAAGGCTGGCTGCAGAGGGCAACTGAATTGAGTCTTCTCCAGACAGAAGCCTTGGGGTTCTCCTGATGCCAACACAAAAAGAAGCTATCTGTGATTTTCAAATTACACACAGTATCATGAGACTGAGTTCTACAGAAATATCCCGGGGGAGGGGGGACTGCCCCCCAGCAACGGAGGCCAAGAGGAAGTTTCTAGGCCATCATCAGTCAGATCAACTCCACTTTTATCTGTTTCATGTAGTGCAACATATTTTGTGAAACAGAGGGTAGGGTTTCAGAAGTAGGGTTGGAAAATTCTGGATCTGGACAAAACCTAAGGCAACATTTCTGTACTTGGTTATTCCCAGAAAGTTATAAGAGAAGAATTTTGATTTGGAAAAACTCACAGTATTCATCCGGAGTCCTGACCCTCGTGAAAGTACTGTTGGGGCCCTCACCAACGCTTGTGTACGGAGTGACAAAAAACTCATAGAAGGATTCTGGTTGTAAGTTTTCCACAGTGAATGTCTTTTGTCCCGGGTTGTTGATTTTGTATTGACAACATACTGTAGTATCTGTGATTTTTGAAAAAAATCAGTAAAAGCGGTATAGAGATCTTGTTAAGAGAGTTAGACACTAATATTCTTGGTGTCTCAGCACTGTCAACATTTTTAAACATTTTGATGGTAGTTTCAGTGCTTCTAAAAATACCAAGCCATGTTGCTTTTTAAGTAAGTTAAAATACTGGCCCCTCCACCATCTTGTTCACCCTCGTTCATTTTATGGACCATAAAATCCATGTAAGAAGAGCATTCAGGCTGGCCACAGTCAGAGATGATAGCCTTTTCAATGATTCAAATACTGGGATCTTCAAAGACTAAATAAAGAAATAAAAATACATGTCACCTGAAAGAACTTCCTTTTCAGCTCCTGGGTGGCACCGCCTCGCCTTGGACTTCAGATAGACATAATACCCTTCTATAAAAGCAGGCTGGGATTCAGTGGAATAATTCTTCCAACTCAGAGTGAAAGAGTGGGAGGTCAAGTTAATCGTGTCCACTTGAGGGTTGTCTAAAGGAGCTAGGAAAGGAAGGTTGGGTGAGACAAAAGTCATGCTTTGGAAATCATCTCAGAACATTCATGTAAACTAAAAGTTAAACTACAGCCAGGTCTGGAGGTCACATGAGGGTATGGCAGGTCTGTCCTCTGGAAGATGTATGCCTGGACATATACAGTGAGTTCTGGGAAGAAGCTAAATAATCTTTTCATTCGGGCCTTGCCTTTCACAGATGAACAAGTGGATACTCAGAGAGATTAAATAATTTGCCAAGGTCATATTGCAAAACAAAGAGACTAAAACTTGTTCTTAGACTTCATTCTGTTCTGGAATTTTAAATAGTGCTTGAGAGAAGACCCAACCAGAGAGCTATTCCCGTGAGGAGGAAGGGCAGGAAAGGGAAGGTTATATTCAAAGAGGCAAGGGAAGAAAAGGAAGAATTTAAAGAACTCTAGTTTCCAGGGTGTGCAATGCAAAGTTATCCACTTTTCACCAAAACATCTGGGAATGTTTATTCCAAAGGCTTCACTGAGCGTGTCTTTCCACACACATTTATGCACACTTGGTCTGTACACACCCACACTCATGCAAACAACGTACCTCCTGCCTGTCTCAAAGCCAACAGTTACTGTAAACTGAAGGTCCCCTGAGACTTGGTCTTATTAGTGTGAAAGTTAAGTTCTTGGCAGTCCAGGGCCCGGCCTTACAGCTCTCAGTGGAAGTGATACCCTGATGCTAAGGTAGGCGAATGAGCAACACCATGGGAGGCTGAAAAGCCCTTACCCTTCTGCTGGAATGGTGGTGACATTTCTATGGAGCAATTTCATAACATGTATGAAAACTCTTAAAAATTAAGAAAGAAATTTAAAAATATTTAAATTTTGACTCAAGTATGCTACCTCTAGGGCATCATTTAAAAACTGTTATCATGGATAAGGACAAAGATTTCACTCAAATGAAGGTGATTTAGATAGGCCTCAAGAGACTGTGCAAAGAAAGAAAGATTTAGCATTTGCAACTGCAGGCACTTGAAGATAAATTTCATATAGGTGATAGGTGAAAAATACCCTAATCATTATAAATCGTCTAACAAGTGGTGATTTGACCTATGATACAGTGGGGGACCTGCAGTCATAAAAACGATATGACTAAATAGCATTTAGTGACATAGGTAAAAAAAAAAGCAGTTGACAAACTGCATATAGTGAAGACCCAATTTTTAATTGTATCTGGGCCAGTGCAATGGCTCATGCCTGTAAATCCAGCACTCTGGAAGGCCAACCTGGGGAGATCACCTGAGCTCAGGAGTTCCAAGACCAGCCTGAGCAAGGGCAAGGCCCTGTCTCTACTAAAAACAGAAAAACTAGCCAGGCATTGTGGTGGACACCTCTAGTCCCAATTACTCAGGAGGCAGAGGCAAGAGGATAGCTTGAGTCCAAGAGTTGGAGCTTGCTGTGAGCTATGATGCCAGAGCACTCTACTCAGGGTGACAGTGTATATCTTTACAGAGAAAGGAGTATCTGGATATGCATAAAATATTAACTCTGAATATCTGCCTTTGGGCGGAAAAATTAGTAATAATTTTCTTGTCTTTTTTTTCTCTTTGTATTTCAATGGCTACCAAATGTCTTATTCTTTTGCATAACATTTCATAAATCATCCTTAATGAAAATGTTTTATGTCTGTATGATTAAAAAATAATTTAAAAAAAGCCATTATCAGAATAAACAGGACACTAAACATTGGAAAAGGTGCTGAAATCTTTCGAATCTCAAAGTTGGGGTCCTGGGATTGTTTTGAACAAGTCTGCACATGGGGAAAATGAATTGTTTTCAACTTACCCAGCTCCTGAGTATATCCTGTTTTTTTCTCTAATAAATAAGCAATTCTTTCTGTAGATAACCCATAAATTCTGAAGTTGTATCGGACCCCTGGTCTAAAAGCATCTAGGAAAAAAAAGTTAACAGATTTTCAATAACACAGATTTACCTTTACTTCTGAAAAGGAAAAACAAAGAATAAAAAATAAATGTGTATTCCCCCATTAATTTCTTCTAGGATTTTCACATTTCCTCTCTACCTACCACCTTCCTTCCTTCTGTGAAGGCCTGGAGTTTCCACATAACTAACAGCTGACCAGTCTTGTGTCCAGCAATTCTGAAGGAACTGGCCTGAATAGAGTCCTCTCAGGCATGAGCTCTCAAACATGACCTTATCCACGTGTGTGGGACTGGGTGCAGAATTACACCTGACATATAAAACCATTTCAAATCTTCCCTTGACTCCAAATCTGGCTCCAGGTACTTGCCTTCTCTCTTACTGCTAAATTCAAGAGTCATGAAAGCTGTGCCTCCGGCTGCCCCATTTCCCCTCACACCTACACCCCTACAGCTCACCTCCAAAACCCACCAAGACACCAAATCCTCCATTGTCCTATATACCCAGATAATTCCCACGACTTTCCCTGAGTCCAGCAGATGGCGCCACCCACCTCCTCCTACTCAAGCCACAAATCTGGCCGCCTTTGACTTTGTAATCTTCAAATCACAAATTCAGTGTGGGAGGTCAGAGTTTGCATGACACATGTTTTATTGAAACTAAATAAGTTGAAGACTGACTCCCATTAATTATAAGTCCTAACATTTCTCAAATCCAGGCACTCCCCTGCTTTTGTAAAAGCTTTCTAGACAACTGTTACAAAGTCCCTCTGCTGTTCATCTGAGACCATCAAGAGGAACAAGTTCATGAAAAGTATGAGAACCACAAGCTCAGGTCTACATTTTCTCTGCAAAAGTAGATTTAAAGGTTAAATGTTATATATTACATTCTTGTAAAATGTGAGTCCCCAACCCTTCCTGTTAGATTTGGCATTTCAAAATTGTTAGTTTAGCCCCATTAAAGCATCTATGGTTGTCCATAAATCCTAGTTGAATTTGCACAAGGTGGATGTAGCAAGATGGTAATATGGAAAGTTCTTCTTACCTGAGCTAATGACTGTACTTGTGGTATTGGGACCTATGTTCTTCCACTGGAAGTCACACAGTGTGTCCTGGGGATGGTCACACCAGTCTACAACATAGCCCATGAAATCTCCAGATTGGGGTTTCCAGGATATGAAGAACCCATCCTTTGAGCCTTTAATTCTTTCTGCTTTAACCTCTTCTGTACATTAAAAAACAAAATAGCACAATACTTCAGAATTAATTAATAGTAAAGTTGTTCCAGTGTCCAGGGAAGAAAACAAACATACACATGTGCTTTGTGTAGCAGGTAAGCGCCCCGCCACTTCCATGGCTTCAGGAGTTTGGCTGAGGATGTTTCCCTGGGCATCTTCCTGCCTCTCGCTCCCTAGAAAATACTCACACCTAAGTTTTGAATGCCTTCATCCTGACCCAACCAGATTTCAGTACCCAGAGCAAGGGCCAGCAGACTACCACTAACAGGTTGACTCCAACCTCCCAGGCTTGTTTTTATATGACCTTTGAGTTAAAATTTTTTTAACAGTTGCAAAAAACAAATAAACCAACAAAGATGAATACAGACTATACAATGCATTCTGAGTGACCTACAAAGCCTAATATGTTTCCTATCTGTTCCTGTACCAAAAGATTGCTGACCCTTGACCTAGACCTGTGCCTGGTACTTGATCTGCTTTCAAAAAAAAAATCTGTTGAATGGATGACTAATACAGCTTAATGGGCCTATGGTAATGTCAGCTGTCCCTGAACTTACTACTGCTTCTAAGATGTCAGGAGTAGGAATTGAATTGAGGCCAAAAGAGAGAGAGAGAAAAATCATGTAAACTCTAAGTTGGATTACAGGAGAATGTGCATACAATTTATGACCCAGACTGCACTTAACGTGTTTTATATGCCAGGGTGGTTTTCCTAAAGTCTGACAATTGGAAGAAGGATGATATGGCCTCTAGGGACTACCTCAAGGAAGGTTCTCCTATTTCCATAGGAGAATTGGTTCATTAATTTGCAATTCAAATTTAGCAGGTTGTCCTATATTTAATCTGGCAATCCTAGTTACAACTTAACATTGGTGTGAAAGCCTGGTGCTCTGCATTTTTCTAGGGCATTAAGTTCTTATCCAGCTGGGGGCACCCAAACAGGAGTGAGTGGCTCCATGCCTGTAGCTCAACCGGCTAAGGTGCCAGCCACATACACCTAAGGTGGAAGGTTTGAATCCAGCCCAGGCCCACCAAACAACAATGATGGCTACAACCAAAAAATAGCCAGGCGTTGTGGCGGGTGCCTGTGGTCCCAGCTACTTGGGAGGCAGAGGCAGGAGACTTGCTTGAGCCCAGGAGTTGGAGGTTGCTGTGAGCTGTGATGCCATGGCACTCTACCCAAGGGGACAGCTTGAGGCTCTGTCTCAAAAAAAAAAAAAAAAGACGAGTGAGCAGCAGGCCTACATATCAGGAAAAAACCCAGAAGGTGTCACACTACGTCCAGCTTACTCACGTGCCTTCCTAAGCTTCCTCCATCACAGAAACAAATCTCCCTCACATTGAGGCTAAGATTTTTCCCTTCACTTATTCACACTGACTAAGATATAAATCCAAACCCAGGTTATAAGTCTTAGCAGGCAGCTTCTTTAAAATTGCAAATACATTTTGAGAGATGGAGGTAGAGGAAAGGGTAAGGGAACCTTTTCCAGTCCTTCACATCCTAGTGTGAACTGGCTTAACTTTATTGGTTTTCTTCATAGGATATGAGTGACTTTCCACACACAAGTGATTTAGGAACAAGAATAACTGAAGGAAAGCTAGATAGAGCCTCATGGGGGGAAAGGTCTGGAGTTCTGATGGCAGGGTAGGGGATGGGCAGAGAAGACAGAGAAGACCCCAAAGCAGATGAGAGTTCTCAGCAATGTTACTCTGGACTGGGCCTCATGGAAGGCAGACTTTCTTTTATCTACCAGCTCTGCCAACTTTCCCAGGCTGAATGAAATACCTACTCTTCCTGTCCCGGTCCTAATGAAACCAGAATACATCTTCTTTCCTTACTATCACCATTTCACAAAGCAAAGATTATGCTAAGTAGCTCCTAAACCAACTCCTACAGATTTTCTTCTGTGACACAGTAATTTCTTTTCCTTATCTGACATATACTGGATAATTCCATAAATAAATAAATAAATCACCTTCTCATACAGCTCACTTAACCCAAATGTAAGCCAACTTTGAACAACAGGTACAACATCTGGCATAATCTCCCACACAGGACCTGGAAAACTTAATAGCAGGAACTGAAGGGTGCCATCATTCAAGGCTCACGCACAACCTCAGGATGTCAACTGCTGACTGTATCATGCCCACGTGTGCATCGTGTCACTGCGTGTGGCTGCAGGGGTTCACTCTCTGCAGCTCTCTAAGAAGGAAATTAGCATCACTACTGATTTTTTGTGTAAGGTCATTGCCTCCTTGTTTGCTTTTTCATAGGCTAAGAGATTAGCCAGTTTTTAATCTTTTATTCTACAAAGTTGGCAGAACCCCTGGTGAAAGATCATGCCAACTCTTCTTATGATCCCTGGAATTGTTCTCGGGGTGTTTCTAGGTAATAAAGACTGATACTATTTTTTACAATATGATAAATGCAACCCATATTTCACAAGTCACGAAGCACTTAAATAGTAACTCTAACTCTCTGAGAACAGTTGTTGGGGTTACATTTACTTGAATAAATTTGAGATGATTTCCCAAGTATATTGAAGAATCCCCAGGATAGAAATGTTCTGAACCATAACTGAAAGTTTCTTTTTCCTACTAAAGGGGACTGACCCACAGAAACATGTTGCCACACTTGGCCCAAAAGAAAAGGACGAACTGTTGGCCAAACATTTCATTTCCCCAAGTTCTTGTCTTCTTGATTTGTCATCTCTACTTAACAACATGACAAACATCTTCTTAGAGAATGAAAACAAAACCAAAATGAAAAACTCACTGTCTCCAGGGTCTGCGGAGATGACCATGACAGAGGCGGGAGAGGTCCCCACACTGTTGCTGGCCGTGACACGGATTTCATAAGAACTCTGGTCCAGGGTCAGTTCTGTGCCATTGGCCGGCGCAGGAATGGTGAGGGCCTCCAACCTGGATGGTTTGTCCAGATTTTCCACAATGACAGTATAGTGTAGGATCTTCCCATTGGCATGAAATTTTGGTGGCAGCTGAAAAAATAATGATAGTCATTTCAAAATGGTTTTACTCTGAAAGGAGTTTGTAGGATTACTTTTTTATCTTTTCCATCCCTCAACTCCCTTACACACGCACCCCACATACGCAGGTAAATTCAGTTTAATAGAGAAAATAACCATCTTAGCCAACCCTGAAAGCAGACATTCTCCTCTAACTGAAGCTGAGTAGAGAATAGGGTCACTTGGGGTGAGCTCCTCAGGGGCCCAGTGTCCCCAGAGAAGAGTGATCAAGTCAGGAACCCAGAGGAAGGGACACTCTTTAACCTGCAGAGTAACAAGACTAGCTGAGGGGAGCAGACTGAGGAGGAACAGCACCCTGGGACCCCACTGGAGGGACCTGGGCCTGGCTCATGCCCTCCCCCAGTTGTGTTGTCCCCACATTGCTCCCCACAACTGAGAGCCTTCTAGACAATCCTCCAGGTTGCAGGCACTGCCTGTCCACAGTCCCTGCCCACTTCTGAGGGCTGATCCTTGGGCCTACCCTCCCTAGGACACACCATGGCCCTGGTACCCATAGTCCTAGACCCGAGAGCAGGCTGGCAGCTGCTGCCTGCTGGGTGGGGACAGAACCTACATGTTAGGTGGCACATCCACACGTGAGTACACAGAGGTCCTTGTGGAGTTCACCAAACTGCAGGTGGGAAATAAAGCAGGGCAGGCCGTGGCCGGGGCCAGCTCTACAGTACCACCATGCTTTGGTATGAGACCTGGAGCGTCTGAGTGTTCTGAATACAAATCTGGCCTTCTAGGTTGTCACGAAGGTAAGTAAAATAAGAAGACAAAATTTATTCTATATTAGTTTTTTAGCTTTATTCATAACTTCTAGATATAGATAATATGAATAATTAAATATTCATAATTTCGAACTGTGGCATGTGGTTGTACCTTACATCCTTGCCCTGGGCCCTATAGAAGGGAGGGGTGGTCTGAGCTGAAGCCTCGGAGAAGGAGCTTCTAACACTTGGGACTGCCGTCAGCAGCGTGGGATCCTCCCCTGGGTGAAAAACCCTAGGGATTGGTGGGAAGACCCCTCCAGCTGGGAGACTGCATCAACCCACAGCAGTCTCAGTTTCTGAACAAAGACACAGAGGAAACAAATCAGACTTTTTGAATCTGTGCTTCTTACCTTCCAGAAAAAGGTCACATTTTGAGTTCCTGGCCCTGACTTCACACTTCTCCAGACATCAAGAGCCTCCAGAGGAGCTGAAATTAACCACGGAAAAGTTCTTGGGTCAAAATGTGTACGTAGAGCAAGACACACTGCCCTTTCCCACGGCTGTCGAGGACATGATGATGACCTGCCCTTTCCATTCTGTGATTTCTACCTACTTGTCCAGAGCCACTTGGCTCCTCCTCGATAGGTGTACATAGTAGGTGCTTTATAAAATAAACAGCAGCCACCTTGCAACAGGAAACTGAAAACCTTTATAAACATCAAGCTTTTTTAGAGCTTCTGGAAGCCACCAAAGAATTCTGGAATAATTGTCAACTGGACCAATTCTAGGAGGTGAGTTAGGTGGGTTTCCCATGTTGTGACTTTCGAGGCAGCAGGTCGTTGGTACTTCTGCCGCCCATCTGAAGGCTGCACTTGAGGTACACTAACATCCCCTGGTGATCTCCTAGGGCTGGCCCCCTTTCTGGAGTCACAGCCTGGGAGCACCTCCTTGTCCCCCTGCACTGGGAAGCCCTCACCCCACTCTTCCCAGCTCCTGCCGGCACCTGGGTGGCTGCCCACCTGGACCAGACTGGGCCCCTGCTGTGCTGTTCCTCTGTCAAGCCCTCGCCATGCTGTTCTGGAATAGTATGCTTTCTCTTCCTTCTTCTGTGACATCCCCAGGGTTGGGGGCCCTGACTCATCTGGCTACAAAACTCTAGCATCTAGTTCAGGGCCCGGCATTTCCAGAAAGTTCCACAAACCCTCTTGAATGAATAAAAAGCAAACTAAAAAAGAACCCACAAAACAACCTGCTTAAATGTTTTAACCTTTTCTTAGCTCTATCCTTGGATCAGTAATAATTGCAAACTGATTGATTTTGCATCTGAATTTGTCCTTGCTCAATTAATTTATCATGAGCAGAGGTCAGTTTTTCAATCCAAACCAACTCTGGATACCTCCATATGAAACTGACATTCATACACAATAATAGCTAATATTTACAGAACAATCACTAGATTCCAACTCAGTTCCAAATATTTTACAAAAATTAACTCATAAATCCTCATAACAACTCTATGAGGCAAGTATTACTATTTATATCATTCTCTAAATAAAAAAACTAAGGCTCAGAGAGATGAATTGTTCAAAATTACCCAGTTATAAGTAAAAGTGAAGCCAAGATTTGAACCCAGAGTGGCCAGGGTCTTAGTCATTGCATTAGTTCCTTTTAGAAAAGGCTTGGCTTGTATGATAAGTTCAACAAAATTCTCATTAAGAAAAGTCTCTGTGACTGAAAAACAATAAAATCAATACAATTTAAGATCTCAAAGAGGTACGTATTTTATCAACTGTTAAAAATACTATAAAATGGACATTTGTGTAATACTCTGCATTCTACATGGAATCAAATTTTCTACCATGAGTTTTTCCATGGTATAACTTTCATAATAATGGAACAATGAAAAATAGACAAAAGGGGATTGACAACATTCCTAAACCATGAGATATGTTACTAGGCTTTTTAATTTGCTGAAGATATAGAAGACACAATTTTAGCACACCCAGGAAGGCAAACAAGAAACATACAGGCATTAAAGTCATTCTGCCATCAACCCTAACAGGATACTTCACGTTCAAATCTAGTCTTAAAAACATCGCCATCTCTTGATTCAATCATAGTTTGTGAATGGGCTAACATTCCATCTCAGCTTTCTGAAAATCAAGCTAAGGCATCTCTTCTTACATGACTTCTATCTTTTAATATAAATTCTGTATCCTAAAATGGTTTAAAAATTTTAGCTGCTAAATGTGAAAATGCAGAACAGCAAACTGTCACAAAATTACCAAAATTTAACAAAATAAAGTGTTTCACCTTGTTTCAAATATTAAAAATAGCCATTCTATGCTCTTTTATTTTTGGTTGTGAAAGGACATGTCATTTGTGATTGGATTCAAAACATCTGTTTGAAAGTATTGTTTTGGAACATAAACAATTATGTTGAAATTAATTACCAAAGACAAACAAACAAACAAACAAAAAAAAAGCAAGACAGTATTATTAAAGTAAAAAAAATTAATTTCAGATTAATATGAGGGTTACAGTGTTTGCATTTGTTAAATAAGGGTCACATTGTAATTGAGCCCTTCACCCAGAGGGTGTACTTTATCCTCTTACATGGTGCCCGTTAGGTGAGCACTTACTAATTCCTCTCCCTTCTCCCCCTCCCCTTTCCTTTATCTCCCCTCTAACTTGATTTTAACTGTGTTTTTCTCTCATGTGGCCATGTAGTTGTTTATCTACTGATTTCATGTTAGTATTGAATACACTGGATACTTTCTTTTCCATTCTTATGATACTTTACTAAGAAGACTGTTCTCCAGGTTAATACAAAAGATGTAAAGTCTCCATATTTTTTATGGCTAAATAGTATTCCACACTATACATACACCACAGTTTATTAATCCATTCATGTGTAGATGGACACTTGGGTTCATTCTACGACTTGGTGATTGTGAACTGAGCTGCAGTAAACATTCAAATGTAAAATGTCTTTATGGTAAAATTAATATTTTTCTTCTGGGTAGATGCCTAGTAATGGGCTTGCTGGATCAAATAGAAAGCCTACTTTTAGTTCTTTGAGGATTCTCCATACTTCTTTCTATAGAGTCTGTATTAGTTTGCAATATGACCAGCAGTGTAAAAGTGTTCCCTTCTCTCCATATCCACACCAGCATCTGCAGCTTTGGGACTCTGTCTGGGGTATTCTCACTGGGATAAGGGGATATCTCAGGATGGGTTTGATTTGCACTTCTCTAATGATTAGGGACAATGAGCATTTTTTTCATGTGTTTGTTAGCCATTCATCTGTCTTCTTCAGAGAAGGCTCTGTTCAAGTCTCTTGCCCACTTCTAAATGGGATTGTTTGCTCTTTTCTTGTTGAGTAGTTTGAGTTCTCTCTAGATTCTAGAATAAGACACAACTAAGGAGTACACCATATTCCTCTCAGGAACAGGGCCTTCTGCAGCAAAGATTCTTGAAGAGTCTGCACCCCTGGGAAAAATTTTTGGCATCTCAGTGTGTGTAAATGTGGGCAGGGGCCTTCAGGGAATGTGGGAGGTAAGCTGGGCTTGACCAGGTGTGAATTCTGGTAAACAGCCTTCACCAGCACCAAATGAGAGTCACTGCTTTAAAATGACCCTCCCAGGACGAAACTGAAAGAGTTCTGCCAGCCTCTATGTACACATAATAAGATGGAATGCAGTATAATGCAGGCATATAATCCTTCCTTTGGCAGCAAAATAGCCAGAACTTGAATCAACATGATCTTGAAATTGTAATAATAACATTGAGAGAGAGAACAAATGGAAGGGAGCTCTGGGTGAGGGTGGGACTCTGGACCAGACTGTGGACATGTCAGGCCTAGACTAAGACTAAGGTGGAAAAACACCAGTTAACTCCTGGCAAATTTCTGGGCAACAAACCCTCAACAAAATGTAGTAAGTCTGGTTCACTCCCAAGATAGATGGGAAAGTACTCACCAACTTCTTGCCTGACTAACTCCCTTGAGAAATGGCCTGGGACGTACCAACTGTCCCCAGACTGATCTTTGAGAAATACCAGGTGAGGAAAGTACTGAAACAAAGATGTATGGCTGACTGACTGCTAAGTTCTGCCTTGGTGCATTGCTTGCTAACCTACCCAGATGCACCCGGGCAGCCTGCGTGCCAACCAGGATGCATGCCAAGCCTTGAAAACCCGACCCCTTAAGCAGTCGGAGCTGCTCTCTGAAACCCTGTGTTGGGTGTGAGGTGGTCACTGGCCGGCTTTTCAATAAATTAACTCTTGTTAATTTGACTAGTGTGATGGCGTAGTATTTGGGAATTCCTGGGCATAACAGACAGCCTCTTCTGACAGCATGCTCACCTTGTACGGTGCCTGGAACAAACTTACTAATAATGACTAAAGAGACAAATATCACTGCACCTGCAAACATGCCTTGGAGTTGTTTAGTATGATACCAATGTTTTCCTTGGCATTGACACTTCAGTTTGTCCCTAGTCCTGAATTAAATAAAGGTCTACAGTTTTACACAGCCTGAGATCCAGTGTGACTCTGGCAATAGCTTCAGGATCCATTTGGGGGAAGTGACAGATAAGAAGGGACTATGCAGTGGGAATCACACTACTGTCAAATGTTTGAGGGTGAGGTCTCCTACACACTTCTCCTTAGGCGTTCAGTCTAACTTTTCAGATGCTATTCCTCTTACATTTTTTTTGGTACAACCAAAGGCTCTCAGGAAAGCCAACCCGTCTCGGGTTGAGTCTTAGATCACTGAGCCTTAGATCACTGAGGTAAATGTCAGGGCTCTGAACATACCAGCCTGCAGTGTGGTGAAGTTCTGACCACTCCATTCACTCCATTTCCAGAAGTGGTTGGCAGCACAGCGGACTCGGGCAGCATACTCTGTGTCGGGCTCCAGTTCACTCAAAAGGTACTTGCCATTCACCTTGACAGAAACATTGTGCTGCTTGATCAAAAGAGAGAAGAAAGAAGAAAAGAAAAAAGAAGACAGATATATTGGTGAACACATCTCACTTGCAAAGCCAAACCAGGACATGGCAAATACTGATTTGGAGTAGGATCAGTTCCTTGGGAGGAAAAAAAATTCTAAGGCCCTCTTCCCAACTCTAAAAATCTATGATTAATTTCATAGCCCTTTTGAAATAGATGACCCACATCCTTCAAACCAGGAGTCCTCAAACTACAGCCCGCGGGCCACATGCCGAGTACATTTATCTGGCCCACTGGGTGTTTTTGTGGCTGCTGCCTGTCCTGCTTAGCAGCCAACTTATCCTAGGGCCCGCAGTCCGGCCCTCCAATGGTCTGAGGGGACAGTGAACTGGCCCCCTCTTTAAAAAGTTTGAGGACCCTGCTTTAAACCCACACAGAAACAAGAGTTTAAACTGATTTCATTCAGTCATCTTTCTGTTTAGGACATAAAAGGATTTTTGAAAATAGCAAATAGAAAATTAATGCATGTTCTTACTTGTGTCATTTTTCTTTCACCATAGAGTTCAATCTCACACAAAAGTGTGAGATAATCCCCAGTGGGGCGCACCTTCCAGGTCATGACAGCATTTGTGGCACTTATATTTTCAAATTTGACACTCAAAGGACTCATTGGATGAACTGCCAGGAAAAGAAAAAGAAACAAAGAAAAAAAATTCACACATAGATCCAAAAAGACTTTAGTAAGTAGGCACTTCATTTCTTCATTTATTTCTTCAATACCTATTTTTTGTTCACATTTGAGAAAATGACTAACAAGACCAGATTTACAGGCAAGATAGAGTAAGCCAATGACACAGCCTTTCTCTGTCAATGATCAGACACATTGAACAAAATTCAGAAAGAAAAATTAAACACAAGTAGAAGAATGCAGAAGGGAGTCAAAACTTGGAGAAGGAGGCCCATAGGGAGAATTACGACAGAACCCAGAGTCTAATCACAATAATATTCACAATGTCAAGGATACAACACAAAATATGTAGAACGTGCTTGGAGCACAACATCCTGAAGGGAAGGGGAGCAGCCGGAGCTGTGTTCAACTTCCCCCAAGAAACAGGGTGTCCTTTCATGCTTTAGCCCAGTGAGTCACATAAATCCCAGGATGGGTGTTTTTTGAGGCCCCACAGCTGTGGTACAAGTGAGGAACTCAGAGATGAGAGTCCATTTGCCCTGGGCGTCCTTCCTGAGCTTTGGGGGACAAGCTGGCAATGACTCCTAAGCTTCCCCTGTTCCTTGCTGCTTTTGTATAAGCACTGAATCCATTTCATGTGGCTTCTGCCTATGAGTGTGCCCTGTGTCATCAGCCTGAGACAAGTTGGTACCCAGTGCACAGTGAACCTGCTTCACAAATTTGGCACAGCAAGAAGAGAGGCAAGAAGGAGCCGTGCATGCAGCTGGATGTTTGGTTTGGTTTGGTTTTTTGAGACAGAGTCTCAAGCTGTTGCCCTGGGTAGAGTACCGTGGTGTCATAGCTCACAGCAACCTCCAAACTTCTTGGGCTCAAGCTATCCTCTTGCCTCAGTTTTTCTATTTTTAGTAGAGAAGGGGGTCTCACTTCTTCTTAGGCTGGCCTCGAACTCCTGAGCTCAAGCAATCCACCTGCCTCAGCCTCCCAGAGTGTTAGGATTTATAAGTGTGAGCCACCACATCCAATCAGCTGGATATTTTATGGGAAAAGAGGAGAGAGAAGAGAGACCCCTCTCTCTCTCACTCTAGCTCCCTCTCACACAGACACACACACACACACCCTAAGGATGACAGTGAGGTGGCTGCATGGACTAAGGCAGAGAAAATAATGTGGAGACCAGAAAGCTCAGGACCATTATGTGATGGCCTATTCCCGAGGCCCAGAACTCGGGAAGTGGTTGCTCAGATGCACCCTGAGGCCACTGAGAAGGAAAGAGAAGTCCTCTACCTATCCTTACGATGTCTGAGAGGAAGCAAATTGCACGGTACAGGGAGGGACCTTCACAGAGAGGGTGACTCAGGATCCAGAGCACAGACGAGGATACCCGTTCAGAGTTTCCTGCAGCTTGGTTGATATGTTTGCTTGGCAAAGGGACGCTGCAGATTCAAATGGTGCAGTTAGGGAAGGGGTCCAAGTCCCAGTGGAGGCCAACAACCCTAAACTCTTATCAGGAGAAGAATTCAGATATTTCTGGGGTTCCTGGATGCTGGAGACCACATGGCAATGTCTCCTGGTCACTTTAGGGGTGGGGATTTAGGACAAACACAGTGACCTGTGGTACTTCTGTGCTGGGGTCTTTTGGGCCATTTTGGGTGACAGTGACCATGGTTCCCACCACTGATCACCTATTAGACACTGACATTATAGCTCCTTTTTGACACAGAACATTACCTCTAGTTGAGGGGCTGTGGCCCCTCACAGCCAAGAATTCGAGCTGTAACAGTGGGGCAGATGCATTCCTGCCTGCTGTCTCTGCCACCCGAGCCCCAGGGGGTCATCCAACAAAAGTCGCCCTGCACAGTGAGTGCAGCGTTGTACATTGCCTTGTTAAATCAGGACTTTACATGCATAAAAATGTCACAAATAACACTATCACAAAGTAACAGCCCAGTTAGGCAGCCAAAAGGGCCTCCTGGGCCCACTAACAACGGACTATCATAGGCTAAATGCCAAGGCCACTCAGGCTGAAAGTCAAAAAGAAGTATCCCAGACAAAGTTAATAAAAACTGTTGCTCCTTGCGACAGCCACTCATAAAAGGGAGGCCCAACAGCTGGTAGGCATCTTTGGGTGCTGGAGACACCATGTCCCCAACCTGAGTGTCCTTTTGATCCACTTAGAGAAAGTAGCCAATAAAGCCACCAACAGTCAATGGGGCCCTCTGCAACAACATGCCCCAGAGGCCATTCCACGAGCTGTGGTCTAGGCACTGCTGTTCAGAATCTTTAGACCAGAGCCTACTAGCCTGATAAAATTACAGCTGCCCAAAGCCTCCAGGCATGACAACTGGAGTCCCTGGTGAGAGGAAATCAGCCTCTCAGATTTCTTATAATTGTTTGAGGCAGCCACCAGGTATACCCCTTTTATATGGCAACCCCTTGTTTGCTACAATCTCTGGAGACTGGGCATCTTACAGCCAACTCATATATGCTAGGACATGAATTGCCCATTCTCACTTGGTTATAAACCCCACCAGTAAAACTAGACAGGCCCAGCAGAGCTTAATTATTAAATAAACTGGAACATTTAAGGTAGTGTTTAGCTGGGACCTGGTGTTATGAACATGGCATAGGCTCTATGAACAACCAGCTCACATTAATCAGAAGGGAACACACAAGCTGTAGATGCTGCTTCAGCCACTCCTGGTGCTACCCGGAGCCAAAGATTCAAAACCTTGCCTGCCAATGGTGCGGTCCAGTTTACACACAGCCCCGACAAACTAAAAGCAGATGGGATTCCTGGGGATGCTGCTGCTATCCACCTCTAGATCGTCGGCTTTTGACCAAGATTGCACACGGCTGTTCAGCCCACTATACGCTGGGGTGATGGACATGCCAGCTCTACCACCACTGTCAACAGCCCAGCCATTGGTCAGGAGAAAAACAAGAGTGGACAATTAAAGACCCCCTTGCGTAAGGACAAGGAATATAGGAACTGCTTGCTGTGCGAAAGTTGTCAGAATCAAAATGGAGTCACTTGTGTTAAAAAACAAACACCTGAAAACAAAGCGAAAGCCCCCGAGGATTCTCCTGCATGAATGCCTGATAACAGAAACTACCACAAAAGACCCTGCAAACACCGCAACTTGGCACAAAGGCCAGCACAACTTTATACAAACAAATACTTCTGCAGGGACATATGCCCGGCAACTGTCTGTCCAACCTTGGCTGCCTTTGTCACTGATCCTCATAGCCAAGGATGATGATCTCAAAACAATTATGCAATCCTACTTAGTTTTTGTTTTTTTTGTTTTTTTTTTTTTTGAGACAGACTTTCACCATGTCACCTTCAGTAGAGTGCCATGGCGTCCCTGCTCACAGCCACCTCAAACTCTTGGGCTGAAGCGATTCTCTTGCCTCAGCCTCCCATGTAGCTGGGGCTACAGGTGCCCACCGCAACACCAGACTATTTTTTGTTGCAGTTGTCATTGTTGGTTAGCTGGCCCAGGCTGAGTTTGAACCTGCCAACTTTGGTGTATGTGGCTAGTGTCGTAACCACTGTGCTACAGGCGCCAAGCTGCAATCCTACTCATTTTTTTAAAGAAACTTTGTCTTCCTTTACCGTCCTGAATATGCATGTAGTTACTATGGCACATGTATTCCCACTGTGATGCCCAGATGCATATCATGTTCTACACTGGATCCACATAGATGCCACTGAGTCCTGTGCACTCATCACTTCCATGAGTTACCTTTTCTGACCTGGTGAATCTCCTCCTAGATTCATGGAATCCCTTCCTTTGGTGAGTTCTTTTTGACTTTATTCAGAATCTGATGTGGCCATAAGGCCACCTTAATGAAGGATTTTGTGTCATCCCTCTTGGGATGATAAAAGACTCTTTGCCTTTTCTGCCATAAGGATGTTCTGGTTTGAGTTCTCTGATTTCTGCAGGATTTACATGCTATCTTAATATTGGTTTGATCTGCCTGCCTGGGGTCAAATTCTTGTGAGTACTCTGATTTTGCTTTCATTTTGGATTGGTTACTTATATCTGTAAATGATTTGGCTCTTTTATAAACCCTTCTTATCTCTGAACATTATCCAGTAGCAAAAATAAATGTTCTAAAGTGGTGATTTTCAACTGGTATGCTGCAAATATTTTTAAAGATCATTAATTAATTTATTTTCAAAAAAAGTTCAAAGCACAGTAAGTATATTTTATTCTACTCTTTTTTTTTTTGATCAGCATAATTTAAGTGCACCACGGAACTTTAACTATAGGTAACTTTAACTATAGGTTGAAGTGTGCCAAGAGATTAAAAAAGGTTGACAAACACTATTCTAAGTGACAGGTGTGACATGGCCAATTAAAGCCACCATTATCACCACCGAAACACCAATCTAAACTCCTAATATTCCCTGGCGGCATGTATAGGACTTTTTGCTTTCGAGAGATTAATAAGGGACAGAATGGGATTCTCCAGTGTTAAGGCTTACCAGGTTTCCTGGGCTCCAGCTGGCTACCCCGCTTTCCTGCACGCACATTGGCCATCATATGACTCATGTGAAATCAACATGCTTGTTTGTCACCAAATTAAAAAACTTCTACAGGATTAAAATAAGATGCTAGTATGTAGAGGCTCCCAGTTTCTCTATTTTTCTTTCCTTGTACCTCTCTGCTGCTTTGAATTTGTTGACTTTTTTTACTCCTATTAAGATAGCCTACTGCACTGATTTCAAATGCCACTTGGAAGTTTTTCTTAGGCTATTTCAGCCAAGATAAGAAAAAGAGAGAGGGCGTTCACATTAGAACAGTTTCACAGCAACCAACAACCTATCTTGTCCACCTAAATGGTAAACTTACGTTTGCCCGGCTAACAACCACTTAGGGTGATGGAGTTCATTAAAAGATGGATAATCTAAAAAGGGAGCAAGCAGACAAAAGTTTGTGAGAGTTAAGGTCTCAGATCAAGAAAGTCAAAATCCTGATCTCAG